AGTCCCCAGTTATAAAGAAAGAAGCCATACTGCCCACTCTCAGCTCACAACTTGGAGCCTGGGTGACGATGTACAGTGAGCAGGGAGGTCCCAGGGAAGCCCAGATGTGCTCAGTGCAGGAACAAGTCCTACCAGAAAAGTGGACACCATGTGGACTCCAGTCCTCTCACCCTGTACCAGAGCTTCACCTCAGTATGCCCAGCTAGACCTGGGCTTTAACCCCCAACACAGGTAAGCAATACCACACTCCATGACGTTCCAGAACCCAAATACTCCATGTCTCAAGAAACAGTGCAATGTGTTACTGGGGAGAGATGCAACCCAAAGCTCAGCATCTGCCCATGAGGCCACCAGAATTGCAGGGCAGTCAGGAAGAACAGGGCACAACCACCATCTGTACCTGCCTTGGGCAAGGACAGACCCTACTTCTGAGGGCAGGTAGGACAAAGCCTTCCCCAAGTCCACAGATGAACACCTACTTCTCAATGGCTCTGTACAATGTACAGAGACTAGAGTGAAGGAACTCAGGGTGAGGGACCAGTCACATGCTGTCTCTAGGTTGGAGGGCCCGATCTCAAGTTGCTCTCTGGACCAGGAACATGGCAGGTGAGATCTTGATTGAGTGAGTGGCTGAGTCTCCATGGAAAATTATGGACAGTGTTGTCTTTCAGATGGGACTTGGCAAAAACCAAAAAAACCAAAGAGTAAGCACATGCAGAGTCTTTCACCCCCAGAAAGCCTCTCTGCCCACCAGTTTTCTACATCCCTCTTCTATATATCTCACCATACAGAAGAAAGACCAGCCAAGAGAGAGAGAAGACATCTGCTTTTGGAAAACCATGCCTGGAGTGTAGGACCTAAAGCTACTGGCCCACACTGGACAGGGCTCTCACCAAGAGGGGCCTGGCTGCACCAGAGCAGCAGTCTCTTCTACTCTATCCACTCTCAAAAGTATGGGCAGATCAAAAGTCCTCAAACATTGCTACTTCCCTCAGAATAAAGCCCATACTCCCTTGCCAAGGCATACAAGGTATTTCCAATCTGGCCCTTGCCTACCTCATGCTCTGTGTTCCTCACAGAGCACTATGCACTATTCCTTCTACCTACAGCATGTTTCTCAACAAAGTGAGAACCTGAAATCTTCTAATTCATCCTTCCAGATTTAGCATCATCACCTCTTCTATGAAGGTTTCCCCAAACTCTCAGGTACAGGAGGAAGCCCAACCTCTGGGCCACTCCTGGGTATAGCGTACACTATAGAATGGACTTTTCTACACCACCCCATGAGGTCATGTGCATAGGCATATCTGCCTCCTCTCTGGATGGGCCTCATGCCTGTGCTCATGGGTCCCAGCCTGGGACTAAGACTAAACAATGGGTGCCTCATTGTGGTGTACAGAATTAATGATGAATGCTTTGCTGCCTGGCCAAAGGAAGTCAGCTGCAAGTTCAAGCAGAGGCAGGCTGACTGTGGCCAGGGCCAGGGCCTGGGCCTGGGCCTGGGCCTGGGCCCCAGCTGCAAAGAAGAGCCCCACCTCAACTCCATCCAGTGCTCCAGCCCAGGCTTACTGTTCTTGGGTAGAGCCACCCATCACATGTCAGAAGACTGCTCCTGCTGGGATGATGTTACAGTCTATTTTGAGGGTCACACTGGAGCATCTGTCAGCCTGGCCAGCCACACCCTCCATGTGTCATCACTAAGAGCCAGGGACACCCACAGGTCCACAAACTCTGCTTAAACAATCATTTCCCCTAGGGATCCTCAGCTTCAGGGCCTTATTGGCTTTCTAACGAGATCAACCCAGATGCCCTTATCTCCTGGCACCATTGGCAGGGCTCTGATGTCTCCTCACCCCACCAGACCCACTCCTGAGATTCCTAGTATTGGTGACTCAGCAAAATGCAGCTGAAGCCCATCAATTTGTGCCAAGCTCTTAGCTGAAACATAGCCCCTCCTTCTTCAGCTCTTTCTTACATTTAAGGAGTGCCCAGAATGCCTAGCACTCTGACTCCATGCCAGTTACCAACCAGACTCATTGTAGGTCCAACAGGTCTCACCTGCTAAGAAATTCCTGCTCATCCCTCAAAACCAAGCCCACATTCTGCCACCTCTTTCAGAGAACATTTCAGTCCACTCTCTGCTGAGTAGGCCACAAGTGCCCTGAGGACAAAGCTGGCCTATGCTGGCTTTACCTTTATTCTCTCTATACCCAGCATGGGCCTAGCACATAGTAGGTATGAATAAATACTCCTTGAACTCCCAGAATAAAACTTTATAACTAGACTAGATTAGTATGTTCTTCTACAAAAGGCATCATCAGAACAAAGCCTTTCTAGAAAATGACACCGATAACTGGGTTCAAACACCTTTTACAAATGTACTCAAATCTAGAGAAAAATAGGTTTATAGATTCAGTAAGTCAATCAAGCCCAGTAAAGAGCATGCCACATTTCTCTAGCCCCACTGAGCAGTAAACACTTTGTAGCTCTGTCCCCTAAGAACACTGTGATCCCCTAAGAATCCAACTAGAGGGGCGCCTGGTGGCGCAGTCGGTTAAGTGTCTGACTTCGGCCAGGTCACGATCTCGCGGTGAGTTCGAGCCCCGCGTCAGGCTCTGGGCTGATGGCTCGGAGCCTGGAGCCTGTTTCCGATTCTGTGTCTCCCTCTCTCTCTGCCCCTCCCCCGTTCATGCTCTGTCTCTCTCTGTCCCAAAAATAAATAAACGTTGAAAAAAAAATTTTTTTTTTAAATTAAAAAAAAGAATCCAACTAGACATTCCTTCACTCTACCCAGGGAATGGATTCAATGGGGAATGTCAGCAACAGCATGGACACCCATGTCTGGGATCAGGCAAGGGCATCTAACAAGTTAGGCTATTCCACTGCACACCCAAAGCAGTGCCACCAATGGCACCAATGTTTGGGTAGGCTGCCAAACATTCTAGGGATCAGGGCTCACTGACAAAACAGGTAAATTATCATCTGCTCCAGCCACTTTCCAGAGATGCTGTGAGGCTTGAACTAGATAATAGAGGAAAGCTATACAACCGGTTAACACCTGAGTCATGGACCAAAGCCAGGTAAGAAGCACACCTCCGATATCAACAGGAAACAAAAAACAAGCTGATCACTTTGTCTTGTAACTGCCCTTGGACTCCTCAAAACCACTCCTGGGCCATACCAATATCTGGCTACATCCTAACCATGAGAAGGCTTTCAAGGATTCCGTAAAGAAGCCATGAAGAGACATTTACATACTTGCCATCTGACAGTGGTCAATTAACACAGGCCACTAACAGGGGCACCTGGGTGGCTCAGTCGGTTAGGCATCCAACTTCAGCTCAGGTCATGGTCTCAAAGTGTGTGAGTTCAGGCCCCACAACAGGCTCTGTGCTGACAGCTCAGAGCCTGAAGCCTGCTTCAGATTCTGTGTCTCCCTCTGTCTCTACCCCTACCCCACTCACACTCAAGATCCATTTAACAACTGAAATTTGAAAAGCCACTTGAAGGAATCCAGGTCTCTACATGTAAACACTCCCCTTTTGAAAAACTGTTCTTTTCTCTCTAGCTCAGCTGTTATCATGATACAGACTACAGAGAAAACAAGTGATTTTCCTCCCTGCAGGTTTAAGAAATGCCCCTCAATTTCTGGCAATATGAGACTCCTGCCACTGCCATTTCAGTCTATACTAAAATTATTTTTGTAGTGTTTGTTTTGTTTTAAGAGATCATTCTCATTCACACTAGTGTTCAAACACATTATAGGTATATATGTGTTTTTATCAGATGGTGGAAAGGGAAAATGGAAACTTTAAGACCCTCCAATAGGATGTTTCCTATCAGTAAATCCACTAGATGGGAATAAAAGTGAAAAGATGCAACAGCTTGCCATGACCAGAATTTCAGAATCATAGAGTTATGGGGTTAAAGGCAGCTTAGACACTGGCCTAGCTCCCCACAGTATAGACAAGGAGATGGAAGCCCCACCATCTACCCATGACCACACAGCCGTCCCAGGAAAGGACGTTACAACTTCACTGAGGAAGCAGGCAATCCTCCCCCAGCACAGCCCGTTGGTTGGGCATTTTGCATGCACCATTAGAGGGGCAGTCCCTAAGAGAGAGGAAGTATTCTGAATGCTCAAGAACACACATTCAGGGTTGGCACGAAGGTCACTGGTATAGTTGGCAAACTTCCCACATCAGATTTAAGGTCTGATGAGGAAAGCCTTTCCAAGACAGCTGAAATCATGTTCTTTTATAAGTTAAACACCTGCTTTGTCACAGTCAATGGTAAAAAAGGTTGACTAGAAGGAAGAAAAAAAGAAAACTGAAAAATCTCCCCTCTGATTTCCTGTGTCTGCTTAGATCACCCTAAAATGGGGAGGCTCCCTAATGCTGACTTTAATGAGGACCTTCCTAAAGCTGGTCCAACTGGTGTTCAAATCCCTAGACTGAAAAACAAGTTTATGAGCAGCAAGGTCACCTGATTCTGACCATGTGCATGATGTTTACCCTGAGATGACAGGCCAGTGACTGCCACAGCTGTGATGAATGCTGTGAAGACTCTACTATCCCTTTGAAGCCTATAAGGGCCTCTACATGACTAAATGCCATAAAAAGGAACCCTGAATACAGCAAGAATGTGAAAGGAGGGAAGTCACAAACGCCATATAGCAGTAGGGGAAATCCTATTCTGGACAATGAATTGTTAATGTAAACTTGTTACTTGTTTCCCTGACCTGTGAGGTATTTCATTACATCATCACTGAAGAGAAGTCCCCTCCTCTACCCCCAATGCTTGCTACCAAGGGCTTCTGCTTACACCAGGCCATGCTCACAGTAAGGAAACAGAGGCAGCCCACTATTCAACCCTCTGCAGCCCAGACCTGTGAGGCTCAGCAGCTCACATCAGTCACAAGTGTCGGCCAGGAGTCATCAAACTCTGACCACAGGAAACAGGTCAGTGCTGGGGGAAAAAGGTGGTAAGAAGGGGCTTACCCATCTCTTCCTTTGCTGACAATCTTCACCTCAAAGTAATAAATGCCACAGGCAGCAGGTATGGGGTGGGTGGCACGCACTGAGGCAGCATCTTTGTGATTTTTGCCATGACCTAATAGGAGAGAGCAAGGAAGAAATTTCAGAAGAAATGTAAATAGAAACCTCATTCTTTACTGCTCCATGGCAACGAAGGGGTGAACCCTTCGTGGCTAGAGGAAGCCCTTACATTGTTCAAGGAACAACTAAACAACAACTGAGCAAACACATAAACCTCCCACCTTTGGCTCACCTCCTCCTGTGAACAGCAGCCCTGCCAGAGACACTGTCTCCCATACAAACTAAACGAGGGTACGGGCAATATGCATACATGTGAGAGATTTCCAAGTGCTGCTGGCGGTCTCTCCAGAATACAGGCAGTCCACCTGGGAGAGGAGAGGAGGTGGAGGAGCTCTGGAAGACCACCCCCCTCAACTTTAGTAGAAAACTCCAAGACCTGTCTGTGATGTCTGGCAGATGAGCAAACCCACAGGCTTCTGGCTAATGGAGGGGATGTGACCACCCCTTTCTTCAGACACTCCAAAAACTAAGCCGTGGTGAAGGGTTCAGCTGGAGTTGGGAGCTATCCCAGGACAAGCAGGAAGGCCCCCAGGGGTGGAAGCTCCAGCCCAGCACTGGGTATGGACACCTGGTGCAGTTCTCTTGACATTAGGTGTCTCAGAGAAGAGCAGTCTAGGCAGTCGACCCCCGGCCTGGTCAGCCTCAACACCCTGGACACCCCACAGGGGCTAAGGCCTAACCCGAAGCACCCAGGCCCGGGAAGGGACGTGATGGGGCAGGGGCGGGCAGCATCGCCACCCCACAGATGCTCTGGCCTTCCGCCCGACCCCAGCGGGCCAAACAGGCCGATACCTTTGTAGTGGACGCGGAGGTTGCCCTGGGAGAGGCCGATGTAGTTGTACTTGTCCTTGGGGCTCCAGGAGCGCGGCAGCGGCGTCTCGTGCTGGTTGACCGCGGGGTACAGGCGCTGCAGGCGCCGACTCAGCTCCTGCTCCCCTGGGGACGGCAGCCCGCCCCCAGCGCCCCCGCCAGAGGAATCTCCAGCCTGCGGGCTCCCAGCTCCCGGGTCCGCCGTCGCCGCCGCCATCTTGGAGGGAGCTGCTATTGTGTCACTGGGGGCGGGGAGGAGCGGGACGAGATCCTCCCCGCTCAGCCAATGGCCCGCGAGCCTACTGAGGTCGCAGGGAAACCGAGTCCGAGTCCGGCATCTCTCTTTGGACACTGCCACGCCTCGCCACATTTCGGACTCCATATCCCACAATGCAGAGCTCTCCAGAGGCGGGCCAACCCGGGATCGTAAAGAACTTAGGGAGATGTAGTACAAATCTGCTCAGTCATAAGCCTGCCCGGCAGAGACTTCAAGAAACCAAAAACTACAATTCCCGCTGGCAACGTAGCTCCAGGTCCTCAGTTTCCCTCTCTCCCCCACTGCCTCTGTTTATCCCCTCGCCTCAGTTGTGATAGCTAGGATCAAGTCCGCTGTAGTGATTGACTGAGGGAACCCTGCTCCCGGGTCCGAGTCCACCTTTGCTAACTGGCTTTCCTCCTAGCCTTCGGCCTTGGGGTGAGGGGGCGTGGCACAATCTTGACCCCCGCCCCCGCCTCTGGGATGCTGGGGCCTGGTCGCCATAGCGACCGGCTGTACACTACCACAACTTCACAGGCAGTGGATGCTGGCTGTCCGGCTGCCCGAGGGTCATGGCCTCCCCGAAGCCGCGGTGCTCCAGCTTCGCGACCACTTCGAGGTAGGCGCTGGCCAGACTGAGGGCGGAGAGGAGGGTTTGGAGAACTTGCAGAAAGAGAAAAGCTTCTGTCCATTGATTCGGGGCTTCAGCCCCACCGGATCGCTGGGGCAGAAACAGAATGCGGACATTACGTGCTAGCAAAAGAGCTGGCGCACTTTAACATTAGTAAGAGCCAGCCTCTTTATATTGAGTGTATATGATGTGCCAAGTGCTTTATATATAGCATATTTAACTCACAACTCTATGAAGTAGTAATATCTTCTGGATACTTCTATTACAAATAGAAGTCTGGAGAAATCATGTGTTTTACACGTTTACAAGTGGAGGAGCTAGGATTTGAACCCAGCCATGTGAGACTTCTTAGCTCTTAGCCACAGAGATAAATGGCCTCTTCACCCATTGGTTTATGGCAAAGATGCTTATCGAATTGCTGTCTATTCAGAGGTTGCACCCTCTGGGCATTGCAAAATTTGACAAGTTCTATTATCCAGGAAAGACACAAAATGTACATAATAAGACAAAATTTGGGGATAAATGTCTTTCTAGCTTTGGGAACCCAAGAAGTCTCTTAAGTTCTGGGCTTCTGCTTCTGTATCTCAAACGTGGGGATGTTACAGCCCACCTCACAAACATTGCCGGGAAAATTTAGGCAGAATATGCGAAGCTCTCATCACAGTTCTTGCATATACTAAACATTCGGTTGTTTAATGAACGTAGTTTCTCCCTTCTACTCATTTCCAACGCAAAAACTTGATCTCACCTAAACTCTAATCCTTCAGGGTTTGCTACCTCAACAGAGAAAGCCTACAAAAGTCAGGAAATTGTTTGCCAATTGATTATTTTATCCAGAGTTAGAATGAAACTATAAGCACCAGGCAGCAGGCTTGAGAAAGAGTGTTGTTACCCAGCACAGGAATGATTTAGGAAACTGCAGTCATGTTTGAAAGGGATATGAAATGGATTCAGAAGGAGAATCCCCATCTATTTTAAGAAGGAAGCATAGGGGGTCACCTGGGTGGCTCAGTTGGTTAAGACACCAACTTCAGCTCGGGTCATGATCTCGCGGTTTGTGAGTTCGAGCCCCGCATGGGGCTCTGTGCCAGCAGCTCGGATTCTGTGTCTCCCTCCCTCTCTCTGTGCCCCTCCCCCACTCAAGCTTTGTTTCTCCCTCTCTCTCTCTCTCTCTCTCTCAAAAATAAACATTAAAGAGAAGAAGAAGGAGGAGGAGGAGGAGGAGGAGGAGGAGGAGGAGGAGGAAGCATAGGGGTGCCTGGGTGGCTCAGTTGCTTCAGCATCTGACTCTGGCTCAGGTCATGATCTTGCAGTTTGTGAGTTCAAGCCCAGCACTGTTCAAGCTGACAGTGCAGAGCCTGCTTCAGATCCTCTGTCCTCCTTTTTCTCTGCCCCTCCCCGGCTTGAATTTTCTCCCCCAAAATAAATAAACTGTAAAAAAAAAAAGTATCAAAAGGAAGAAAGGAAGGAAGAGAAGAGAAGAAATATAGGGGCAGTCCCCTACTGGCTCAGTCAGTAGAGCATGTGACTATTTTTTTTTAATGTTTATTTTTGAGAGATGGAGAGAGTGCACAAATGCAAAAACCCTTCCTTTTCTTTTTTTTTAAATTTTTAAAAAAATTTTTTTTTCAACATTTATTTATTTTTGGGACAGAGAGAGACAGAGCATGAACGGGAGAGGGGCAGAGAGAGAGGGAGACACAGAATCGGAAACAGGCTCCAGGCTCTGAGCCATCAGCCCAGAGCCTGACGCGGGGCTCGAACTCACGGACCGCGAGATCGTGACCTGGCTGAAGTCGGACGCTTAACCGACTGTGCCACCCAGGCGCCCCAAAACCCTTCCTTTTATATAGCTGCTGTTTATTTGATATGGTTTGTTCATACTTGTCCCATTGAGAGATAAGAGAGGACTAGCGTTTGGGGTGTCACCGCTCTATGGAGTAGGACTAAGGAACCAAGTCCTTAGGTTCCCAACTAGATTCACATTTACTGCTCTCAACTTCTCTGGAATACAGGTAGTCCCAGTCTCACTTTTATAAACAAAGACACTGAGGTTCAGAGAGGTTAAACAGTATGCCCAAGGTCATTGGCTAGCAAAGGGAACGAAGACACAGGTCTGTCTGGCAGCATAAATGACCCCCACCCACTGCCACCATGGATTTCTGGAATTACTTTTCCCTTTTCTTCACCTGGATCTGCCTTCCCAGGGCAGCCCTCCCTGTTGATCCCCAAATGCCTTTCTAGCTTGAGGAAGGATGGCACTCCCTCCCAAGAGCTCTAGGAGCTAAAGACCTTCTTAGAATCAACTTTTCTCCCATCTTACTGTCATCATTAACATCTGCACAGCTCCTTGCAGCTTACAGGCTGTTTTTGCATATCTCTTTTCCTCGTATTAAACTTCACAACAACTTTATAAGATAGGAAAAGCAAGAATTGTCTCCATTTCCTTATGAGCATACTAGGCTGAGAGAGGTCAAATGGCTTGCCTGGGGGTTCCTGTTGGAACCCCAAATGTCAACCCCCAGGCCTTTCAGCCAGTAAGTGCAGGATGGGGACTCACACACCAGCTCTTGGACCTCAGACCTTGTGCTTCTTGTCCTAACACCTGTCTTTGGTATCACACCCCCAGAATGTGCCAGTCACAAACATGAAACTCCTCTCAACACTGAATGAAAGTTTAAGTCCACAGAGTTCTCTGGGCTCATGAAGGGCACTCATGAAGGTATCCTGTCACTGTAGGGATTGATGAGATCCTCAGCATGAGAAGGTTTCCAGGAATGTAGGAAAATGTTTTGGGCCCATGGCCAGGAACTTATTGGCAACATCTCTGGGAATCTATAGGCACTGCTGGGAAGACCCAGGGCCTAGCTCTGCAGGGAAAAGAAGCCATGTCCTGTTGATCTGGGAAGGTTGGAGGTGCTCTCCCCACTCAGAGCTCTGTCATCTACCACTGTCTTCCCCTTCTCTGTGCAGAACACACATACAGCCTTCAGGAGTGACCGTAGATGACTCCTACCTCACAGAAACCAAGAGCTCCCAGAACCGAAAGTTTTCCCAGAGACAGAAGACGCTGGTTAGTGGCAATGTCTTGCTGGAAACCCAAATGTCAGCTCCCAGACCCTAGCTGCCTCCCTCTCTGCAACCCAAAAGCACCACCCACCTGAAACATGCCCCCCCCCCCCCAGAAGCCAGCAGCTTCTCTCCAGTCAGGGAAGCATGGCTTACAGTGGCCAGACCCATCAGGCTTTAGGGTAGAGGTGTGCAAACTGGTTGCACCTCATCTGAAAAGCCTTTCCAGACCTCCCCTGGCAGAGAGAGACTCAGCTCCTTCCCGACACCCTTCCCCTGCAGCTCAATGTTCTGGAGTGGACCTCATTTTTTCATTCAGCCTGCCATATGCCAGGCACTGTGCTAGATGCTGGGATGGTCACACCAGATCTACCAAGGTCCTTCAGGGCTGTGACTATATGTTTTTTTGTTTTGTTTTGTTTTGTTTTGTTTTGTTTTGTTTTGTTTTTCTGAATGGCCCTGATCCCTGATAGGGTACTTGAGTGTTTGGCATATGTTGAGAGCTCCATAATGTTGTGAGTAAATGTGTGAAGGCAGGAGTAAAAAGATGTTATTACCCCCTTGTGTTGCTGGCTCTGGGTTGGCGGCAAGAGACTCTACTAGCCTCAGGAAACTGCCCTTCCACCATTCCTGTTCTTTTAATTTTTTTATATAAAAATGAATTCTGTCTTGGGACACCTGGCTGGCTCAGTCCGTAGAGTGTGAGACTCTTGATCTCTGGGTTTTGAGTTCAAGTCCCATGTTGGGCGTACAGCTTACTTTAAAAAAAAAAATAATGAATGCTGTCTTATTAAGTACTTTTGAACTTTTGTTGATACAGTCATAGGGTTGTAATTATTTAATTAGCAAACCGACTTTAAAAAAAACACACACACAGTTTAGCAAACTTATAACTCCAGTTCACAGTGGAGCATTATGGGCTGTGTGGTGGTTTTCTTTGTGTGTGTCCCCTATGGGGAATTTAAGGACACATGGGAACCACACTTTATGAAGCTGGAGATTCCCAACGTGGGGACCCAGACTCCAGAGAGGGAAAGGGAATCAGTGTGGACTCTTCGCAGAGACCAAGCGCAGCCAGGGCCTCGGAAGACGGATAATGGGGCACATGACCCCCCCCTCCACCCAGCTGCCATCCTACCGTGTACCTGGGCCTAAGCACTTTCTTCCTGCGAGGGCACCACCATTCTTAACCACCAGAGGGCATTACTCCCTCACGCCGCCCCCTGGCCACGCCCCTTCCCATTTTCACCCTCAGGAGGAAGCAGAGAGGTAGGAGCCCCAGTGAAACAT